GTAGACCTATAACAGCTTTCTTTTCAAAACATCAAAAATTTTGAGGTTAAAAAATTTTTTTTTGAGGTATAGTTCAGTTGGGTATGATGTTGAATACAAAACTAAAGAGTATCTTAAAGTGATAGGTTAAAGTCAGTTTTTTTAATTAACAAAACATCACAGAAGCACCAACTATTTGTAAAATAAAAAATTTTAACACATTTTGCTCTTTTATTTATTTTACTACTTCTTTTAAAGTAGGATTCAGAATTTAGATTAGGTGGCTAATGAGTTACAGAAAAGACAAACTAATCTCTGCTAAGAAAGTATAAGTACAGCCCACAACTAGGCCTGCTAGTTAGTGGAATGGTTCTCCTTGTTCCCATGCTTTGAGTTTCTTGTCATCATCCCCTCCACCCACATGCAGTCCTCAGTGAGTCCTTAGGTCATTCTCCCTCAGCCTTTGAAGAGTTTAGCCCCTGGTTCACTATAACCATCGTCACCATTACTCCTATCTTAATTCTTGGTGATTTTAACATCCACCTAGGTGATCTTCCTTATAGCTTGCTTCTTCTTGCACAGATACAAATACTCTCACAAACCCTAAAGGTCCTATAAGTCTTTGCTCTTACAGTTTTTCTCTGTCCTATCAATCTTACCTTACCATTATCCCTACCCTCTTACCCCTCAATTCCTCCTTATCCAGCTTAAATCCCAGGTTCAATCATCATAAACATTTCCTTGCATATACCCTCAACACTTTCTCTCTCATACTCAATTACACAAAATCCCTTTCCTCTTTTCAACCTTTTCCACAGATAAAACAAAACTTACTTCAGATCAGTCCCTAAGGTTGACTGGCTATCATATGACAGTTATTTATGTTCTGACAAACTTTTATCATTTACTTGTTTATATCATCATAGACTCACATATTCCTACTTAATTCAATGTGTTCTGATTCATTACTATAGTTATTTAGTTTGAGTTTCAAATTGGTTGATTTGCCCAGAGAGAGCCCTTTTAAGCTGGATCCCAGTCCTTTTGACATGTCCTCAGCATGTCTCTGGCAAAAGATGTTCTGGGTACAATTTGTACTTTTCTTCACTTTGCTTGGAATTTAGAAACCAAGATCTGGAATAACATTGGGCTTACTGCTTTTGTGGTGTAACACACAAACGCGCACACACACACACACACACACACACACACACACACTCATTTACGTATGTATGTATGTGTGTGTGTATATATATATAAAACTATTTCCAGATCTTTGTGTATATGTGTATAAGTATTGAGTTCATACTTATATTCTTAATTCCAATCTATTGCACCTTAGGACTATCTTTAGCAAAAATATTAGCTGCCATTACCCGCAATATATTTACTTATTTCCTCAATCCACTCACTTATTTGCTTAATATAACCAAAATTTGAAAGATTTCTGCTCACTCTCTCTGTGTTCCCCACTCATCACTTCTTATCTCTGGCTGCTAGCCTCATGCAGTGTGATCCCCCAACCATCTTCACTACCCTGAGTCCTCAGTCACCATGCTGATGAGCCCATGACGAGAAGGAAAGATGATCATTTTTCTTTAAAAACATTTTTTTTCTGTCTTTAGGCAAATATACTGACTTAGCATTTTGAGTATCTTATAGTTTTTAGTGTGGAAATTGAGCAGTATAAGCTCTTTTACCTGCCTTCCCCCCCCCAAAAAACAACAACAACACAACAACAACAATTAAATCAGAAATGTGAGTACTTCCTTAAGAGGAAATCAGCTTTAATTAAAGGAAACTTTGAGGTAAATTACTAGGACATCCATACTTTTTTCCCCTTGAGGTACTAAGCTGTAAACTTCTTCTTTTGCTGATGAAAAGCTACAAGACACAGAATTTACTTACAATTCAGATAGCTAGTATCTATTTGCCAATTTAGTGTGGCAAGGTCTAAAAGTAATGTCAAAGTTGGCCAAACTCTGCTCCTTATCTTAAGCAACATGTTTTCTGTTGTATTTTACTGCCATTCAATGTAAAAATGAGAACTCTCTTGTCAAATTACTTTTGTTGAATGTGTTGGGCTGACATTGATTAACATAATTAAATAGGCCTGGCTGGCATGGCTCAGTAGTTGAGCATTGACTTATGAACCAGCAGGTCATGGTTCGATTTCCAGTCAGGGCAAATGCCCAGATTGCGGGCTCGATTTCCAGTAAGGGGTGTGCAAGAGGCAGCAAATGAATGATTCTAGCTCTCTCTCCCTCTTCTCTCCTCTCTGAAATCAATAAAAATATATATTTTTTAAAAATTATATAGGTTTCAGCTACATAATTCCACAACACATTCTGTAGACTGTATTATGTGTTCACCATCCCAAGTCAAGTCTCCATCAAATGCAGATTTTAGATAATGCTGAGAAATCATAAAGCCTAACTAATGTAGACGATAAACAATGGTCATTAAACATACTTATTCATCTCTTCAGGCATATCTACACTTAAATGAACTCAGGTTTCACACTAAAAACTTAGGTGTTGTTCAAAAAGCAAAAAAAATTTTTTTTAAATATGAAGGATGTCCAAATAGCTTTTGAGATAGCAGTACTGTAACTGTCTTCTATTAAAGTTAAATAGACTTAAAAAATATTTCATTAAAAAATTTCATTGTTTCTAAGTTCCCAACACTATAAAAAATTAACAAAGTTTCATTTATACTTACAGCTTCTGGCAGGAGATGTTATCTGGTACCTTATTTATTATTATTATTTTTCACTATCAATTTTTCATTGAGTTCCTTAAATTCCTACTTTTAGAAGTATGATCTAATGAAATTCATAGAAAAATACACAACTGTAATAATAGTAGATGAAAGTAAATAATAGGATGATGGACATATGCATAAGAGCTTTGTAAACAGAAGGGGATTCTAACCCAGTTTTGGTCACTGGAGGCTGTGAAGAGGAAAGGAAGATAAACCTAAAATGAACATTGTAGTCTCTAAAAAGATGAACATTAGTTATTTAAGAGAAAGAATAGGCATTTTCAGAAAGGGTACCAGAACCCAGGTAAGACAGCATGGTATGTTCTGAGGATCAGAAATAAGGAATTGGCAATGAGACATTCAGGAAACATAAAAAAGGTCTTTGAAGATCAATTAGATGGGGGCGTGGAGGAAATGGAATAGGATTGTAGAATTCCTTTTTACTACTTATACCCTTAATCGTTTCTTAATCTATCTATAGTATTATAGAAATATTTACTATTAGTAAAAAGAATGCCTGTGTTTCATTCTTCTGGTCTCTCTGCTGTCAATATTTCTTACCTTCCTTCTAAATAAATGTAAGGATAACAGAAGAATCCTAAGGAAATACTGTGAAAATGTTTTAAAATATATTTAAAACTCGACTTCTGAAAGGATTCTGCTATTCCAATAGGTCTGGTCTTTTATTGACTAAAATTCCTATAGCAAAAAGATGAACTAAGAATTGCAATCCAAGATTGAAATTTAACACCAGCAAGACATTTTTTATATTTTTATGTATGTAAAAGCCATCATTCGAAGAATAACCTGAGTAGACATGGCTATGTTTACAAAGCATAAGAACTCTTAAAAACAGGTTGTATAAGATAGCAATTTTCAAATTTTTGAGACTGGAAATCCTTATAAATATGTAAAAATACATTTAAAGAATAACCTGGGTAAACATATCATATTTATAAAGTATAAGAGCTCAAAAGAATACAGTTGGCATAATATGGTGATTTTCTAGTTTTTTGAGACTGAAAATACTTCAAATGTTTAAAAATAATCATAAGCTTTAACTCTGCATGCATTACAGGCAATTTATTTTATTAATTACATCCTTTTCTAAATAGGCACTAAGGCCAACTCGAATTACATAGGCTTTTAAAAATTAGAAGAAAAAAAAACATGATCAGGAAATCTGGTAATTTTAGTTCTTTATGGTTCTCTGTGCCTATTTTCTCCTATAAGTAACAGAGAGGACAATCATCCTCTCTCCTATTTCAAAAGATCATCGAACAGATTAAGTAATCCCATCTTCTATTTCTTTTTTATTAAGATCTTCACCGGAGGATATATTCATTGGTTTGTATTGTGTGTGTTTTTGGAGAGAAAGGAGAGTAGGGATGGAGAGAGGCAGAGAGAGGGAGTGAGGGAGAATGGGAAGGAGAGAGGGAGAGAAACGAAGTTTTACAAAAAAGACCTAAAGATTAAGACTACATCGTTGATTATTATGAAAGGAAAAAATCATAAGAGTTTAATACAATTCATGATTAGAAATAGTTGCAAATCAATTTTCGAATAAATCACTCAGCATTTGGATTTAGTTTATAAAAGCTGATCCAGAAGTGCATTTCATTATTTCAAAATGGTCATTAGAAATTTCTGCCACTAGATTCCAAAAAATGGAATAGCTGAACAGAAAACTGATTTGAATATCATAATCTGATTACAAAGTATACATTTATGTGGAATCTTTAATAAAATGAAAAGGAGCAGGAATTTTTAAGAACATTTATATGGTTTTACCTCCAATGACTAAATATGTCCTACATCCTTAATACTAAAGTCCTGGTCCACAGAAAACAGTATCTGCATCACATGGGAGCTTGTTAAAAATACAAAACCTGGCTCCACTCCAAATCCACTGAACCAGAATCTTTAGGTGGTTACTATGCAATCATCATATTTTCAGTACCAAGATTCAAGACTACTATCCAAATAGTTCATCAAATCATAAAGCCACTTTTCCCTAGTAAATGGGTTGAAATATTCAGCACCATATACTGCTGAGAGAATAAACAATGTAGAAGAGGAACACAGCCTGGCTCAGATGTGTGACCTTAGGCAGGTTAAACTTAGCTCTGTACCTAGGTTTCATCACCCACACAATGAGGATGGAAAGGTATACCTATCTCATAAAAGTAACATAAAAAGTTTAAGGAAATATTACATGGAAAATGCTTTGAAATTAGTCCCTGGCACACGATAGGTAATCAGAAAATGTTTACTATTATTAAGTTCATTTGCTACTAAGATAGAGAAAACTTAGAAAAGAACAATATAGGAGTGACATGGTAGTTTTACAAATCAATTTTATCTACCTACCTACCTACCTACCTACTCTCACAATCAAAAGATTTATCAACCTGGGGCTACAAATAACTCTCTAAATAGGAGATGGAGGCTGGGAGGAAAGGCTGGAAAAATGACCACAAGGCCAAAGAGAAACAAGAGAAAGAGAGAACATGGGGGAAGGGGACAATTATTTTATCTTCCCTAGATGGATTTTCTTCTGGATAGTCCGAGCCTAGTGGTAGATGAGTGAATTTATTGAGTCCAGCCACTTGGGAGAGAGGCAATGGCTGGCACTGTACCCACTAGGGCCCTTGAGGTGCCTCTCCTCCAAAGGAGGGAAGGTTTTACATTCATTACCCACACCCCAACCCCAAATAGATGACCTGGAGCTTCTAATCTGTGAACATGAGCACGATGATAGTGCACACGCCCATCAAGAAATGCATGAAGGACTTGTGCTTCTCTATCAGCTAAAATAATATTTAAAAAAATCCAATACAGTAACACCTCGCTGTAACAGACTAATTCAGGCAAGGGGATGTCTACTAGTATTAAAGCTAAAAGTCCATTATAGAATGAAGCAGGTTTTCTGAATGCATGTGTTAATAAAGTGACAAATTAGTTTACCTGTTTCTACTTATGTAGACACATTTGTGTAATTAAAATTAAGCATATATGAAAAGTTTAATTTCACAGAAAAGTTTTCTATATGTATTACTGTAATTTTAAATTTATACTGAATAGGTCTAGTAAATGCACACATTCACCAGTCACCGAGAGTAAACAAATGCACAGGACTGGGGCATGGCTTAGCACACGTTAAAACTGCTGCAGAAAGTCATGCCACGTTAACAACAGAACCAATTACCATGCACATGAGATATGGTGTGATCATATGCTCATCATTCGCCAAACACTGTTTACAAGCAGTGGACTTTTTCATTTAAATATGTAGACCACAGCTGTAAATAATTTTATGTAATATTTATGTCGGCAAAATTACTATACAGTGTTTTTTCCCCCAACATATGGCCTGTTCGGTAGAATTTGTTAAAAATAACAGTGAATTAAAAAAAACAAAACCCTGTTAATTTAATTATAAGCAAGTCTTGGTTAAAAAGCATTTTAAAATTAACGGTGTTAATTTTCACATATAACTTATGGACTAAAAGTTTTTTCTGTTAAATCCGAAGTCCGTTAAATTGAGGGTTTACTGTATACAGGGGTGGGGGCAAAAGTAGGTTAATACAAGCCTGCAATCCAGGCATGTGCCCTGACTGGGAATCAACCCTGCAACCTTTTGGTGCACAGGACAATGCCCAACCAACTGAGACACACCAGCCAGGGCTCTCTTTATATTCTGATGGAATATTAAATGCCACACTTGGTCTATCTTACCAGTCGCTTGCTATAAAGTAGTGCTGTACTGCTGCCACTGGAAACTGCCCATTTAGAAAAATGCATGACATGTTCCAACTGTTTAGAAAGTCCAGCCACTTCCTGTTGTTGTTGCATAAGTTTTATGCGATGGTCCTTCGCCAGGCTCTAAAAAGAAAATAATTTCAAAATTAGTTCTGTCTGTAACATATCTTAATGGTCATTTTCAGATTACCATATTAGAATAATCATCACCTTTAAGAAACTGAAAATCCTCTTAGTGTTGCTTTTCCCCACTTAGTACAAAGGATCAGTCTTAATGCAGCAAAACACTGTGCTCCAAATGCTCCTTATAGCCACTGCTACCACAACCACCACGGCCTCCATGGCCCCTAACCTCCACCCTCAGTATGGTTTTATACACTGAGTGGCCAGATTATTATTACCGGCCAGATTATTATGACTACCCCATTAGTACTTGACACTTCCAAAAATACTGAATATTGAAAACTTCCTAAGCAAATACTCTCAAGGTTTTATTATTATTATTATTTGCATAACTAATTCACTTCATTGTACTGATGGGGCGGTCATAATAATCTGGCCGGTCATAATAATCTGGCCACTCAGTGTATATCTGGGACTTAGGTTTCTGTTCATGTTATCTTCTAATATCCAATAGGAACAAAACCTGTAGATTAGCTATAATACAGTAAATGCCTATTAAATTCAATACCCACAAATAAAATAAATATAACCTTTCCAGCAATCTAGTAAGTTACCAGATCACATAATTTACTCAATCCCATGATTTCACCTTTTAGGCATTCTAGTCCTCATTGCAACCATATGATAGACAACATGTATGCTTCGCATGTGGTAAAAAAGCTGTAACATTTTTTTTTTGTCTAGTGAGAGTTACATGGTGACTAATGTGCCAATGCACTCTCAGAAAAGCTACAGAAAAGCAGTACACCGAATTTCTCTCTGAGGGTTTTACCTTTCTCTAAGGAAGTACACAAGGAAGAACACAGGTTAATAAAAAGTGAAGAGCACTGAACTTGGGTTATTTTAAAGGTTTCTATCCAAAAATCTCCTTTACCTAGCAAGGAAAGAGGAAGAAAATAGGGCTTTCTACTGGCTTAAAAAAAAAAAAGTTTAAAGTAAAATTGCTATGCTCCAATATAGACTTATAGTCTCAATAAAAAAAGAACCTAGATAGATCCCAGCCATAGTCAGTTTCAAATGTTGAGAATGTACATGTGCTAAATTGAATTAAGGGAAAAACTGCAGTGACTATTAATGGCTTTGTCATATCTAATTTAAAGCTCAGAGATAACTTACTTATTAGGTTATTTCTGACCTCTGTGAAAACTGTTTCTTTGGAGGCATTCTAGAAAGAACAAATATTCTGTTTATTTTTAATTAGGTTGCAAATTGAGAATCAGAAGGTCTAGTTTCTTGGTATTCCACAGAAACAACTATTTGGTAGCCTGGCCAGGGTAGCTCAGTGGTTGAGCATCGACCCATGAAGCAATAGGTCACTTGTTTGATTCCTGGTCAGGGCACATGCCCAGATTGCGGGCTCGATCCCTAGTAGGGGGCGGGCAGGAGGCAGCCAATCGATGTTCCTCTCTCTCTCTCTCCTCTCTCTCTCTCTCTCTCTCTCTCTCTCTCTCTCTCTATATATATATATATATGATCAGTAAAAACATTTTTAAACAGTTCTATAAAAACTGTAAGGCAATACGTTGATTAAAAATAATACTGATGACTAAGTTTATTCCTAGAGATTGGGAATTTGGTCGTATTTTGTTTCTATATTCTTCTTATTTTTTTAATCTGCAAGTAATTTTGATTTACAGTGAAGTTTGGAAACAACCACAGCCACTACTGATCTCTGAGAAAACAATTTGAAGTCACTTTTTATTTTAAGTAGAGCTTTGAAAACATTTTAAATTGTTTAAATGCAGCTTTTAAAACAGAAACAGAGAACCTTGAAAAGATAGTTACCGTAAATAAGGTCTGATTCTTCCTGGACAGAATAATTCTTCACTAAATAAGTATTTGATTATAAAAGAATAAAGTATTATTTTAGTCTTTGTTTCCAGTATGGTTGCTAAACCATGGTAGTGGCCTTGCTTTGCAGGGGACAAAACTTTCTAACAAAGACCTTATAGTTTTGTCAACTATAAGATAAAGATGTTGGCTCTGGCCGGTTTGGTTCAGTGCATAGAGTGTCGGCCTGAGGATTGAAGGGTCAAGGGCATGTACTTCAGTTGCAGGCTTGATCCCCCAGCTCTGATCAGGGTACATGCAATGGAAAAATATCCTTGGGTGAGGATTAACAACAACAAAAAGATGTTGAACTAAATTATTTCTAGGAGTTTTTTTTCTAATCTTCAAACATGACAATTCTTTTACTCTTTTCTCATTCTAAATTGCTTCTTTACTGTGAATTCCTCTGTATCAATATACTAAAAAAATTCTAAAATACCATGCAATTAATATGTTAATATACCATATAGAAGTTGTAACCTCTATATATTTGAAGTCAAGCAGTGAATTTGGATCTTGACCTTCAGGAACATAAAACAGCTGATGAAGATAGTAATATCTTTCTTATCTTCGGTGGGAAACAACTATCCAAAATGCCCTGGCTTTAGCAATTAACACTATAAAATGTTAAGGGCAGGAGGCACCTCCTTTTACCTAATATCTCATAAGGTTAAATGTATATAGTTGAGAACTAAACATAGCTAATTAGTGTATCTTTCCAAAATTTTGTTCAATTGCACTCCAACCCTTTGGTGATGCAAAACTGTCACTTCAATGAATCTCTAAAATGATTCATCTCTTCAATATTTACAGAGTTTCTCCTGCAAGCAAGGCATTATGTTAGACACTGTGGAGTAAATAATAATAATTAACAAAATTCCTAGTGGGAGTATCAACCTACTTGCTAGGTGGGAAGCTGCGGATTCATGAATTGTTTAATGTAGCCAATTAGATCTTCAAATTGAGTTTTTTTAATACTTCAAATTGAGTTTTTAAAATACTTCACACGAAAAGTTTCTAATAATTCAGTTATGTACATTTACCTTACAGGGTATGTCAGAAGCTCAAAAATGCTTAAATTTTTTTGTTCAGAATTATTTTATTTGGAAATCAACTGAAATATAATAAAGAATTATAATCTATAAAAAAATCATAACTCTGGCCTGTGTGTGCAGTGGTTAGAGCACTGGCCCGCACACCAAAGGGTCCTGGTCAAGGGCACGTACCTGGGTTGCAGGTTCGATCCCTGCCCATGTTGGGCCTTGTGCAGGAAGCAACCAACCGATGTGACTCTCTCACATCAATGTTTCTCTCTCTTTCTCTCTCTCCCTCCCTCCCCTCTATTCTCTCTAAAAATCAATGGAAAAAATATCCTCAGGTGAGGATTAACAAAAAACAAAACTAACATCATGATATAATTTGGTTTAAAAAATTATTACTGGATATACCAAAATAAATGTATTTTCTATCCTTTCTATAAATAGCCCAAGTTCTGGAAATCTCATATAGCATATATGGGCATCAACCGCATATATGCTATTAAATAACAGAACCCATTCATATTTGCCCTCAGTTAAACTTTCTTAATGTGGATTCACTCTAATTTTTCAGGCTACAGTACTATAAAGATTGACATTAAAAAAAAAAAAAAAAGACATTCAAACTGTTTTATAAAGCCATAAATCATCAGCTTGACAATGCAGAGCCTGGCAAAGGAAAACATGGGAACAGAGAAGAAATACTACTGAATCATAAAACAATTATATGAAAAAGGCTTTGATTTCAAATTTGCAAATACATATGAAATTCTATTAAATCGTACTAGTATGCTGCATTAACAGTAACTTACCTCAAGCTGATGCAGTAGAGCTTTTCCTTTTTTATTTATTTCTACCATCAATGTAAATATAGCAACTTTAATATCTTGTTCCACTTGCTTTTGATTTTGATTTACTTCAATTATCCTGAAAATTAAATGAAGAGAGGAAATATAAGGCAGGAAAATTGTTTTACAATATTTAAAATTGATTTTTTAAGGTCTAAATTAGACCAAAATGTTTTCAGCACTTAAAAGCTCAGCTATTTCTAGTATGCTTCAGTTTAAATTGACTTTCTTGAAAACAATACAGCAGAAATCCTATTCTTCTGAAAGACATAGTCATTTAATTCAACCTTAAAATCAAAAGGCATAAAAAACATTTTAAGAAAATATGCTTTGGAAAGATTATGGTAACACCCAGGAAAATCAATACTCAGCCTAAAAAGATGATAAAGAAAACCATGAATCTGAAAGATTTCTATTTTATTCACTGCAACTAAGAAGTAGGAAAGGGTAAATGTGTCACTTTTATTTAGTCATGTGAACTACTACAGTACCCATTATACCTGAATAGAAGAATAACAGACAATAGTAGTTTGTTACTTTTAATAACACATTTGTCTTTAAATAAGCAGCCAAATAACTACTTTATGTTTAATCAACCACCAAATATGTTTTTTCCTTTGATTAGAAAAAATGGAAATGCTGTTTTCATAGAGATCAAGAACAGAAAGAAAATACATAGCATTACACCAGAATATCTTATAGAAGCAGAAAAGAATAATGGGGAACCCACTGAATATTATAAGAGAAATAAAAAGCTTCTTTTCTTCTGTTTCTCCCATAGTTACCTTCCAAGACTAAAAAGGCAGAGATTTTATTCTCTGTTGGAAAATCTTCAAGATAATTATTTAACATCAATATTGGCTAGAGGATCAAAAAAACTAATATAAATCCTCGTGATTGTAGGACAGGATAAAAAAGGGGCAACCAGTACCATGTTTGCACATGTGTGAAAATGAATGGTCAAGTAAGTCAGTCTAGTAAATTTAATCCTCCTATAATCAGGTAGGCAAATAAAGATATAAGCAATTAACACCTAATCCAAAGATTCTTAATTTTTCCAATTCAAAAACCAAAATACTAAAAAAATAAAAGCCCACCAAATTTGGATAATTCACACTAATTTTAAGTCCAGAAATTTTCACACATATATGGTCAACTGATATTCTACAAAGGTGCCAAGGCAATTCAGTAGCAACAGAAGAGTTTTGTCAACAAATGGGAGTTGGAGCAAATGGACATCCATATGTCAATTTAAAAAAAAGGAAATACTGTATATATTGTGAAAGAATAAGAAAAAAGTCAAAATGGTAAACTTCACCAAGGGTGGATCTTTCACATAAAATTAGTTATCTTACAATTGCTACCATTTGCTACTAGATCAGCTGTGGGCAAACTACGGCCCGCGGGCCGGATCCGGCCCGTTTGAAATGAATAAAACTAAAAAAAAAAAAAGACCGTACCCTTTTATGTAATGATGTTTACTTTGAATTTATATTAGTTCACACAAACACTCCATCCATGCTTTTGTTCCGGCCCTCCGGTCCAGTTTAAGAACCCATTGTGGCCCTCGAGTCAAAAAGTTTGCCCACCCCTGAACTAGATGGTAGAAATGACTATCATTATCTCTCCTTATCTACACTAATAAAAGAGAAACATGGTAATTAGCGTACGACCGCTACCCTTTTCATTGGCTAATCAGTGAGTATATGCAAATTAACTGACAACCAAGATGGTGGCTAATTTGCATATGTCGGCTCCAAGCCACAGACTGAGGCTTTAGGCCTAGGCCAGGGAGGAGCCAACCAGCGATCGGCGGTGGCGGCGGCGAGCTGGGGGTGCCCTGGCCCAGGCCTAAAGCCTCGAGCAGAGGCTTTAGGCTTGGGCCGGGGAGGAGCCAGCCAACGATTGTTGATGGCGGCAGAGGCAGGGAACCAGGGCGGAGCCAGCCGGCAATTGTTGACTTGCAGTGGCTGCAACAGTGTGGTGATGGGGCTGGTGCCTTCCCCTGATCGGCCCGGTCGCCTTCCACAAAGGGAGGCCAGACTGCGGCTTAGGCCCGCTTCCCAAGGGGAGCAGGGAGCAGGTAGTAGGACATCCCCTAGGGCTCCCAGTATGTGATAGGGGGCAAGCTGGGCTGAGGGAACCCCCTCCCCAGTGCACAAATTTTTGTGCACCGGGCCCCTAGTCCTATCTAATAAAGAGGGAATATGCTAATTGACTGTCCCACCCTCAAAGATGGCGGCGCCCACAGCCACAAGATGGCTGGCAGTTGTGGGTGATCAGGCCAGCAGGGGTGGAGAGTTAGGGGCGACCAGGCCAGCAGGGGAGGGCAGTTGGGGGTGACCGGGCTGGCAGGGGAGCAGTTACATGTTGATCAAGCTGGCAGGGGAGTGGTTCGGGGGTGATCAGGCTGGCAGGCAGAAGCGGTTAGGGGCAATCAGGCAGGCAGGCAGGCGAGTGTTTGGGAGCCAGCAGTCCCGGATTTTGAGAGGGATGTCGGACTGCCTGTTTAGTTATGGGATCGGGCCTAAACGGGCAGTCGGACATCCCCCAAGGGGTCTCAGATTGGAGAGGGTGCAGGCTGGGCTGAGGGACACCCCTACCCCCCAGGGCACAAATTTTGTGCACTGGGCCTCTAGTTCTATAAATATTAATTACAAGTTTTCAATTACTCAGTTACAAAATATTTTTAACCCACCAATTCACCAATTATTCTACTTGGAAAAGTACAGTATTGTGATTAAAATATGGTAAGGGAAATCATGTTTGGTTAACGATAGTTATGTGAAAGAGAAAGGTAATATGAAATGAGAGCTGATCAGAATAATAAAAACTGACACACTAAAACTGTTACTACCACAATATATAATGACTAGCTATACTACTACTAATAGGACACCAAAAAAAGTTAACTTACATTGAAGAATTTTTTTTTAAAACAAGGAATTCCTTGAAAAAAATTCCCAAATGCCCAACCCTAGTCATGTTCCAAAATTATAAGAATAACAGTTTATGATTGCTCTTATGGAAGATGAACCACAAAAACCTTACAAAATTTTCTGAGAACAGCACTCAAATCCCCTGTAAGGCCTCTCTTATCCAGCTCTTTCTAATAAGAAAGATCATTTCTTGATCTGTTTAGGCAGACACGTTAAAAGAAAGGGGATACGGAATTTCATAGGTGTTGTAAAGGTTGCAAAATGTCAGTGTGTGCCCCAAATGGGATAAAAAAAAAAAGGAGCTAGACAAACTCCCTCTTCCCCACAGAGGCCAGTGGTTTCCTCCACCAATCACTGAATTGTGAGACGGGAGCCTTGGACAAACGGAAGACAAAAACATAATAGATAATATGTAGAAACTGTGTAATATTGTACCTGACAAGGAATAAAAGGTGTGTGAAACAGTGTAACAATCCCTGCCTCCTGGTCCAAATGTCTCCAATTCATTGCAGTTAAGATGACAGCCCAGAGGGGTTATCTCAAAGTTTAGCAATTCTTAAAATAGCATTTATGTATATAATCAAGTGTTAAAATATTTTACACTAGCAAAAACAGTTGATTTTATCTTTAAAATCCTGGTATTTCTTTAAAATTGAAAAACACTGATAATGATGAATTATCGATAACTTAAGTGAGCTGCTATAAATGCAGTGTGTCATCAAAATAATTTTAAATTTCATGGCTGAAAAGATGCTTTCAAACCCAAACATTCCAGAAATCCAAAATTTTGTAGAAGTCTTATTAACTGTTATTCGAGTCATCTGGCAGCTTACTTAGATCTATTTCACCATGAGTTAAATAAAATGTTCTAAAAGTGAGTATACTTAACACATTATATAAAGATGATTTATTATAATACCATAAATGTAAATTTACCTGTTCTGGATCTGATTTCCTGTGAATTTGATGTACTTTGTTTTTTCCATCAATTTGGTGATTAGTGTATCTATGATCACTTTCTGATTCTGAAAAGCTTCTTCTATAAATTGATATCTGAAGAAATAAATAAATAATTCAATTATCACATGAATTAATCTGTGTAAAATGAGGAAAAGCCCCAAAGCAAAGATATAATAGAAAACTATTTAAGATAATAAGAGTATAAAGAATATAAACAATCAGTTAAAATACAAAATATAGGTGGCCCCCAAAAAATGTATACACACACTTTGAATAATTACAAAGGCAGTATTAATTAAAATACATTTCATTGTCAAAATTGAGCTATCAGCTGTTAAAGTGTGTATACATTTGGGGGGGGGGCACTCTGTATATCCCTATAAGGCAAATTTTCCCTCTTGTGGAAATTATCCCTTAAGAAAGAGGGAGTCTAGCCCTGGCTGGTTTGGCTCAGTGGATAGAGCATTGGCCTGTGGATGGAAGGGTCCCAGGTTTGATTCAGGTCAGGGTACATACCTAGGTTGCAGGCTCCTCCCTGGCCTGGGCCATGGTCAGGGCACATGCAGGAGGCAACCAATCAATGTGTTTCTCGCACATCGATATTTTTCCCTGTATTTCCCTCTCTCTCTTCCACACTCTCTAAAAATCAATGGAAAATATCCTTGAGGATTTAAAAAAAAGAAAAAAGAAAAAGAAAAGGAATGGGGAGTCTTTACAGATATTATTCAAGGACACTCTTTAAATTATTTTGAAAATTTGGGAGACACACATGCATTATCACGGTTTTAGAGGATTACAGAGCTCACTTGGCCAAAAAGTAATAACAAATATTTAGGCAGATTTAACTATTTTACAATTTCATAATTATGAAAGTTTGATGCTTATAAACATTTTGAAGATCATTTTAAAATAAGCCCTTTTAAAATATTTAACTTAGAAGTGAAGATGATAGCCTCTGACAAATAAGATGACTCAAGAGTATCTTAAGAGAAAGACTGATGTAAATGATACATATGAAGATTTTCATTGGAAGTTTTTCATAAAATGTATAAATACAGTATTTTACATAATGTAATTTGAAAGTATAATTAAATTAAATATAAAGAGGGTGGTCAAAGTTAGAAAAAAAGAAAACAGATAATTTCATTCAATTTCCTTTGTACTTAATCATATTTGTAAACCATGACTGTTTAAATTCCTTCTTAGGTAACAAGATTTTTATTTTAAACTTTTTTTCATTACTACGCTGTTTGGGATCCTAATACAGTGTAATGTTGAATGAAATGGTCAAAATGGTCATCTTTATCTTCTTCCTAAACTCAAAGTAAAAACTTTGAATATTCCATTTATGATGTTTACTAGTTCTTTTCATAATCTTTAGCAGGTTTGGGAAATTTCCTTTTATTCCTAGTTTGCTAAGATATACACACACACACACACACACACACACACATATATATACATATATATGTTTAAATGTTTTCATATTGATTTTAGAGAAAGAGGAAGTTAGAGGGAGAAACATCTATCAATTGCCTCTGTATGCACCCTGACGGGACAGAACCCACAACCTGAGCATGTGCCATGACTGGGTATTGAACCGGTGACCTTTTGGTGCACAGGACGATGCTCTACCTAGCCACACCAGCCAGGGCAATCATGGGTTATATTTTTAATTTAATGTTTCTTCTGCCTCTACTGAGATGGTTATATAATTTTTCCTTTATTCTTTAAATATATGAATTACATGATGATTTTCAGATGTTAAATAAACTTTGTATTACTAATAAGGCCAACTTGGTTGTGATTACATTATCCAAAAATCATAATACTACTGAATTTGGTTTCCCAATTTATCTCTTAGAATTTTATTATTCAACTAGAGGCCCAGTGCACGAAATCTGTGCATGGGGGGTGTCCCTCAGCCCGGCATGCACCCTTTCCAATCCGGGACCCCTCGGGTGACGTCCGACTACCGGTTTAGGACTGATCCCCTTTGGTATCGGGCCTAAACCGGCAGTCAGACATCCCTCTCGAAATCCAGAACCACTGGCTCCTAACCACTCACCTGCCTGCCTAATGCCCCCAACTGCCCTCCCCTGCTGGCCTGGTCGCCCCCAGCGGCCCTCCCCTGCCAGCCTGATATCGCCCCTAACTGCTCTCCCCTGCTGGCCTGATCGCCCCTAGCTGCCTCTGCCTGGGTCCCCACCACATGGCTTTGTCTGGAAGATGGCCCGTCGGCCTGGTCTAATTAGCATATTACCCTTTTATTAGTATAGATTACAGTTTACATTCAATATTATTTTGTATTAGTTTCAGGTGTACAGCATAGTGGGTAAACAATAATATACTTTACAACTGCTTAGAATTTTTAGGTTCATCTCATGGGTGAGACTACTCTGTAATTTTCTATTTTTACTCCTCATAATCAGTGAAGTTTACCTGGATTTGTATTTTACTTTATGGGAAAATTATAAATCATGGATTTACATGAAATTGAAGGACTAATCTAATTTTCTATTTTTTTTTGTACTAGTTTTGGTAAGCTGTACTTTCTAAGAATTATCCCATTTCATGTAAAAATTTTCTATCCTTTTTAATTTTTTAAATATATTTTTCACTATTGATAGTAGTACAGATATCTCCCATTTTTACAGATATCCTTTTATATTTTTTAATTCCTTTACAAAATACCCCCTTATTCCTATTATTTGGGCCTGCTCCCTTCTTAATCACTCATAAAAAGATTTGGTAATTTTACTAGTCTTTCTGAAAGATCCAATTTTTGGCTTTGACTATTTCATTAATTTCTGCACTTGTCTTTATTATATCCCTTTCCCCACTTACTTAAGGTTTAATTTACTCATTCTAACTTGAGATAAATGTTTAACACATTCATTTTTTAATCCTATTTAATATATGCAATTGTATATTTCTTTCTAATCATGGTTTTAGCAGTATATTTCAGAAATATTTTCATTATCATTCAGATAAAAATATTTTCTAGTATACTATATCAGGATTTCTTTTTTTACACTTTGTTAATTAATTCTGAAATAATTTTAAAGATAAATTTGCAATAGTACAGAGTTCTCACATATACCTTTACACTGCTTAGCTTTTCAAATATTGCCTCCTCAACAGCCCTTTAATTCCTTAATAATTAGTATGCCATTTCCTAAAAAGGATCTTCTATTGTTTACCCATAATTATAGGAAAACTGACAGTGAGATAATACTTACATCTAATCTACAGACCATATACCAATTATGTCATTTGTCTCACTAATGTCCTCTATATTTCTTCTCCCTCTAATCCAGGATACCATCCAGGATAATACATCATTACATTTTGTTTTCATGTGAACTGTATTCCTTCATTTTCAAATATTTGAAGATTTTTCTCATCTATTATTATTTTCCAGATTAACTGCAGAGTTTACACAAGACTTTATATGATTTTAATCCTTTGAAATTTAAGACTGCTCTGGCATGATTAAATTCTTCCTATTTATGTTTGAAAAGAATGTGTATTGGGTACAGTATTTCTTAATGTCCATGAGGTTACTTATTAATTGTTATTTGAATTTTATGGAAATATCCTTATTTTTAGTGTGCTTGTTTTGTCAATTATTGAGATGTTAAATTTCCCACTCTAACTGTAGATTTGTTTATTTGTTCTAAGTTGTTATTTTTCTTTACATATTTTTCTTTTTATTATTTTCTTTTTCTCTCTATATTTTAAAGGGCATAAATTTAGAACTGTTGTATCTTTTAGATGAAGAAAACCATTTTTCATTATAAAGTTTCCCCCTTTATCTCAATGCATTTTGCTATGCCAACTTGCCTTTGGTTGGTGTTTGTATGGCACATCTTTACCTGTCCTTTTTATATACTCAGGTTTTAGATGTTTCTGCAACAGAATTTCTATTTTCTTCTTATCCAGCCTGAAATATTTTGAACATTTTATCTATTTAAATTTATTATAATTACAATACATTTATAGATCTATCAAGTTCTAATTTAATCTGCTCTTTGTTGCTTTTTCTTTCTTTGACCTGTGTTTAGACCAGCCGTGGGCAAACTATGGCCCGCGGGCCGGATCCGGCCCGTGTGAAATGAATAAAACTAAAAAAAAAAAAAGACCATACCCTTTTTATGTAATGATGTTTACTTTGAATTTATATTAGTTCACACAAACACTCCATCCATGCTTTTGTTCCGGCCCTCCGGTCCAGTTTAAGAACCCATTGTGGCCCTCGAGTCAAAAAGTTTGCCCACCCCTGGTTTAGACTGATTAATTATTAATTATTCTATTCTCCCCCCAACAAATACTTTTACTATTCTTTCAGTGACTACTCCAGATATTACACAACACAGATCTTGACTTATCACCTAATAGTGATTTTTATATTTTTACCCTCCATCCTAAATTATTCATAAGCCTTAGACCATGAACTCCACATCCTCCTAACACCGTGGTCGGCAAACTGCGGCTCGGGAGCCACATGTGGCTCTTTGGCCCCTTGAGTGTGGTTCTTCCTAAGCCTTAGGAGTACCCTAATTAAGTTAATAACAATGTACCTACCTATATAGTTTAAGTTTAAAAAATCTGGCTCTCAAAAGAAATTTCAATCGTTGCACTGTTGATATTTGGCTCTGTTGACTAATGAGTTTGCCGACCACTGTCCTAACATGTCTGCTGTGTGATATACAACACACATAATGCAAACCAACTAGATATTTTTATTGCTTTCTAAGTCAATATTTATTCAGATTTACAAATGCTTATTTTAACTGCTCTTATTCTGCCACGCATCATCTCCCATTTTTTTCTGTCTAAAGTGTACTTTAGCCCAGCCAGCATGGCTCAGTGGTTGAGCATCAACCTATGAACCAGCAGGTCATGGTTCGATTCCCCGTCAAGGGCACATACCTGGGGTTTTGGGCTCAATCCCCAATAGGGGGCGTGCAGGAGGCAGCCGATCAATGATTTTCTCTCATTATTGATGTTTCTATCTCTCACTCCCTTTTCCTTCCTCTCTGAAATAAAAATATATAAAAATTTAAAAAATAAAATAAGTAAAACAATATGTGGGGGCTAGTGGTTCTTAGCTCAGGGTGATCTTGCTCCCAGGACCATGCATTTTTAGTTGTGACAACTGGGAGGATGCCACTGGAATCTAGTGAATAGAGGTCAAAGATGCAGCTAAATACCACATAAAGCATCGAACAGCCCCCACACAAGAATTATCTCTGACCCAAAATGTCAATAGTGCCAAAGTTGAAATATCCTATATGATAAAAGCCTAATATGCCAAGTGTCCGGTCGTCCGTTCAACCAATCAAAGCGTAATATGCTAATGATATGCTAAGGTTGCTCAACCACTCGCTATGACATGCACTGACCACCAGGGGGCAGACGATCAATGGGTCAACCAGTCGCTATGATGTACACTGACCACCAGTGGGCAGATGATCAACCAGTCAACCAGTCGCTATGATGTGCACTAACCACCAGAGGGTAGATGCTCAATGCTGGATCTGCCCCCTGGTGATCAGTGCGCTCCCACAGGGGGAGCACCGCTCAGCCAGAAGCCAGGCTCACGGCTGGCGAATGCAGCGGTAGTGGCAGGAGACTCTCCCGCCTCTGCAGCAGTCAGACATCCCCCAAGTGCTCCCGGACTGCGAGAGGGTGGAGGCTAAGCTGAGGGACCCCCCCACCCCCCACATCCCAGTGCATGAATTTCATGCAACAGGCCTCTAGTTCCTGAATAGGCCAAACAAAACATTATCTGCAGACTGCCATTTGGTTGGGTGCCAGCAGTCCTCTACTTTCATAAAGCTATATTACAAATCTATGTATATAATGAAAGATGTTGGTACCTATGCTCTTTATGTTCTAATAACTGGCAATCCCGACATGTCAGTTTGTCGCATGTTTCACAGTAAAGCTTTAGCTGCTCCTTCTTATGAAAGGGACAAAATACTGGTCGCTGACTGGTCACACCAACTGCTTCTAGAGAAACAATGAGAGCCAAAAAAAAGAAAATTAATGTAATTGAATAGTAAATACTTAGATTCTACTGAGATATAAAAGAACTACAAACAATTTCATCAACAACATCACTACTTCTAGGTTTTACATCTGTTAAAATGTTAAGTATTCTTGGCATTTCAGAAAGAAAATATAAATGAGCTCTTCACTTTTCAATGTGTAAATTCCAATTATAATTCAGAAAAAAATGTGGTTAAAAATATGCTTTATAAAATTAAAAAATCTTAATGTCCCAGATAAGTGAGTGTGAACCAATTTGATGTTTTTTTATTCCAAGTACGGGGGGACATTTTTAAAAATGCAATTCAGAAAATATAATAAAGATGTGGTTAAAAGAAATTTTACCACTTTTGCAAAAATACTAACAAAGGATACCCATCAACACAAGTAATTATAAAGTTTTCACTATTATACAGTCATCCATGTAACTTTACAATAGTTAACCAGCATAGGAATAAAATTGGGCAATACTTACTATAATGTTAAATGGAAAAAATCAGAATACAAATAAATATGATTAATTAAAGTTATCTAATAATTTAAAGTAAAATCCAAACATTTCAGAAATAATCTCACCTTCAGAGATAATCAATATTAATAACCTGGTATGTGTTCCTTTGGCTGTTTTTCTACATAACTATATATATTAGTGGGTATTTTGTTTTATAAAATTTAAAAAATAGCACTATACTTATTGTCTTGTAAACTGTTTTTTTTTCCCCCACTTACCTCTATGTTAGCTATCTTTCTATGTTAGTAAATACATCTATGTATTAACTATACTAGAGGCCCAGTGCACGGATTCGTGCACACTGAAAGGAAATTAATTAGAAGGTGGCTGGCAGGGCAGGACTGGGCGAGATGGGCTGGACACGCCCTGGAGCCAACCTCCTGCTGTCCCTCTCCAGCCGGCTGCACCTGGGGCGGTGGCAGGGCTCCAAGGGCATCTGTGGAGTGAGCAGGGTCCCTCTGGCAGGCAGGGTCCCTCGGCCTGGCCTGAGGGGATTGGGCCAAAACCGGCAGTCTGAAATCCCCCGAGGGGACCTGGAGTGCAAGAGGGCACTCTGCAAAGTTGCTGTCGCTCGGCAGCTCCTGCGTTAAGTGTCTGCCCCCTGGTGGTCAGAGCGCGTCATAGCTACCAGTTGGACGGTCACTTAGGCTTTTGTATATATAGACAGTATTCCATCAAAAGGATATACTACCTGATAGTGGGCATTTAAATGTTTCTCATTTTTCAATATTGTGTGTTAGTGTTGAAACAAACAAATGAAATGTAAAAGTCATTGAATGTTTCTGTGAGACAAATTCCTAGTAAAAGAATTGTTGGGCCAAATGGTAATTTATATATACATAATTAAATAGTACTCCAAAAAACTGTACCAATTTGTACTCCTACTCGGGTAGACTATTAGCTTACTAATAAGGTTTTCTCAGTATTTTTAATCTTCACCAATTTTATTTTAAAAAGAAAGAAATATTTCACAATCTTTAGGTGCATTTCTTTAATAACGGAGATGGAAACTTGACACATTCATCAACCATTTGCATTTCTTTTAAGAGTCTGTTTATAACCTCTTATTTTTCTGTCCAATTCTCTTCACAACTTGTAAACACATTTAATATTTTTTTCCAAGCACATGATATTGCTTATAAGTGTATCAAAACATGTCAGCGTAGAAAGGCAAAAAAAAAAAATGGTGGGAGGAATAGAGAAAAAGAGATTAAAAGAACTAATTCATTACCTGGAGATACTTCCTCTTTCTGCCTCACAGTATGGTCTTTTGTGAACTTCACCCTTTGATGAGCTCTGATGCATGTCTTACAGAGCCATTCAACACACTCTACACAAAACCCATTAGCTTCTGCATTGTCCTCACAGCTTGTACATACCTAAAAGAAACATATCACATCAATTTTTGAGAAAAATGAAAAGGTGGTCACACTAGTCATATGGAAATGATACAACCATACTTGACTCTATCAGTTATCTTCTAAACAGGGTTTGTAAATTTAAACTGACATTATGCTTATTTATTTTGTTTTGTTAATCCTTACTCGAGGATATTTTTTCCACTGAATTTTAGACAGAGTGGAAGGGAGGGGGTGAGACACAGAGAGAGAAATATCAATTGGTTGCCTCCCACACATGCCGTGACCTGAGGCCAGGATCGAGCCTGCAACCAAGGTATGTGCCCGTGATCAGAATCGAAACCAGGACCCTTCAGTCTGAGGGCCAATGCTCTAACAACTGATAAAACTGGCTAGGGCCTGACATTATGTTTTAAACTATAAACATATGAAATGGAAATATAAGGACACTGTCCTTAGTACCATACAGCAAATATTGCAGGCACTATGCTAAGTGTTGAGGTTACAACAATCAGGAAAAGCAAGCACAGTGCCTGCTCTTGTGATACCAAGTCTCACAGATGGAATATGGGTTGAAATCCCAGTTCCCCCACTTACCAGCTGAGTACTCTTGGGCAGGTTATTTAGAATGCTTATGCTTATTTATTTAAGATTTTTAAATTGATTTTGAGGGAGAGAGGAAGGGAAATGGGGAGAGAAGGAGAAACATTGATGTGAGAGGTAAACATCGATTGGCTGTCTCTGCATGCCCCGCACCAGGGATCAAGCCCGAAACCCAGGTTATGTGCCCTGAATGAGAATCAAACCTGCAACTTTTTGTTGCACAGGATGCCGCCCAACCGAGCCACATAGGCCAGGCCTAGAATGCTCATGTTTGAAATGATGGTAGTAATACAGAATTTACTGAGTAGTTGTGAAGATTAAATATGAGACAAACATTACTGGAATAATCACACTAATACATAATTACAAACTGAGAAGTGCTGTAAAAGAAAAGGTATGAGACACTGTTAACAACATGCAGTTGGGGAAACTGATTTCACTTTAGTGGGGTTGCAGAGACGGGGAAAAGTGAGAGGTGAGATTACTCAGACAAGGCTTTCTCTAAGGAGATCATATTAGCACCAAAATATGAAAGTTGAGTCATCAATTACTGATGACAAGCCTTTTAGGCAGAGAGAACAGTATGTACAAAAGCCTCCAGCAAAAAGACCATAGCAGGTTCAAAGTGCTGACAGAAAAGTAGTATGGCTAAAGTGGAGAGATTAAGGGGAAGACTGGCAAGAGAAGCTGGTGACATAGCAGGCAACAGCCAGGTCAAACAGGATCACAAGACAATTTGGTCTCTGACTAAATAAGTCTCCTAAAAGCTTTTAAGCAGTTAAGTGAAATGGCCAAATATGCATTTTTAAAATCACCACCACTGCAATTGTAGACATGAGATTAAAAAGGGGGCAAGTGTTCCAGCATAGAGACAAATAGGAGGCTTTTTCAGTGGTTTAGGTGAAAATGGGAGGAAGTGGAGATAAATAAGGAGACTTAGAAAGTAAAACAGCCTGGCTGGAGTGGTTCAGTGGTTGAGCGTCGACCTAGGAACCAGGAGGTCACGGTTTGATTCCTGATCGGGACATATGCCTGGGTTGTGAGGATCCCCCCCAGTGTGGGGCATGACGGAGGCAGCTGATGAATGATTCTCTCTCTCTCAGTGTTGATGTTTCTAGCTCTCTTTCCTCTCCCTTCCTCTTTAAATTATATATATATATATATGGAAGTAAAACAGACTGGTTTGTAGAATGCCCAGCATATGGGAGGTAAAGAAGATAACCCCTATTTTTCCAGCTTAGATTACACCATGTACATAGTTTTTCCAGTTACACAACCTATAAATTGTTATTATATCATTAGTGATTGAGGGATGGAAAAATTTCCTCCTCAGTCAGTGGTTTACATTAGCCGAATTCCAAGTTACCTGGACAATATTTCTATTAACTAAAACCTCCCTTTTTTAGGTCTTATCATCTTCAACCTTTCTAACATCATTTGATGCCACTCACTCCTACTTCCTAGAAATCATTTGGATTCCTCGAAACCTCCGGATCCACTTATCTGTCTGAATGCCCCTGAATTGTACCACCACTCTTTTTCCTTTGATTCTGTAGATTTTTGTTGGATGTTGAGATTGGTCTCATCCACTCTCTTAGCTTCAACTGTCACTTCAATAAGGATGCCCCCCCTAAAACAGTCTCCACACAATGCTTCAAAAACGAATAAAGGATCTCTACGTATATGGCTAGGAAGGGATCTCTAATACTATATAAAGTAAAATTTAAAAAGAAAAGTGAAAAAGCAAGCATACCACTGCTTGTTTAAGAAAAGATGGGGTTTGGGTGGGATGCCTTGCTTATATGGTTAAAACATAAAATTACTCAAAATTATATATAAATAATATTAAAAATCCTATCTAATAAAAGAGAAACATGGTAATTAGCCGTACCTCCACTACCCTTCCCATTGGCTAATCAGGGCGATATGCAAATTAACTGCCAACCAAGATGGCGGCCGGCAGCCAGGCAGCTTGAAGCTAACATGAGGCTTACTTACTTCAGTGATGGAGGAAGCCAACGTTCCCTGCCTGCCGCTGCCGGCCTCTGAG